ATCAAGAGGCTGCTGGTCTGGGAAAATGCATAGGCCCTTAGAGATAGGCATCTCTTTCCAAAAGCTCTCTGGACCATGCAGGGCCTGTACTCTGTACCACAGTGCACCGAGGTCTCATCTCTCCAACATCCCTCAGATGTTCTATGGCAAAGGAAGAGATTTAGGAAGCATGAAGGCAACAAAATAAACTGCTGATGTTCAGAAAACATATCTTCAGCCTTTACAGTGTTGATCTGCTATTTCATTATCACTCCCTCCTCTATAAACTTTTTTCCTCTGCTCTTCTTCATAGCAATTTCACTGCTCTCATTCTTTCCTTCTCTCTGCATCTGTTGTATTTCTGCCTTGGTAATTTCTTGCTTGTTCTTTAAACCTCAAAGCCCTCGTATGACTTTTGGTGCAGGTATATTAACCAGCCTATCTATGTGATATAACTGGGTAATATTCCTCCATAAAGACACTCACCCACACTTTAGAGGCCTATTTCATTAGTAAGGTTTTGCACTCTAACACAAGTGTCACCATTTCAAGGATGATTTGATCAGACTGAAAACAATACTGAAAATTAAAAAATGGCTCATTCATGTCCTTTTCATATCAGAAACTATGCATCTGCATCACCAGTCCCATTTGCATGTAAGATTTCTAGTTTCTGTGTTTATATTTTTTTAACATATTTTTCTATATAACAACATGCTGTCCTCTCTCTTGCTAAAATTTTTACAGTGTGAACAAAGTTTACAAATACAAATGCCTGAAATTTAACAAAAAACAACTAAAAAAAATAAACTTTTCAAAATTTCTAAATATCTGCTTTCCTAGATTTCAGGTAGGGTTGCTATGAACTTACGGAGCTTATGATCCTTGATCACTTTAAAAGATAGGCAGACATCATAGGCACAGAAAGACATCTGAGGTGATGACAAGCTCCAGAGAAGTTTTTCATGAAACAGAACATTCATTAGGTAGCAAATGGAGTGAAACAAGTCATTTGCAAAAAGTAATTTATTTTTTTATTTCACTCTTCTTTCTTGACTGAAGTAGTATCTGTAAGCAGTTTGAAGTCTGCTTCTGCCTAGTTCTGAGGGAGTCCAGTGGCATAGCTAAATGCTAAATAGTCTGTTGATCAAAATAGTGAGGCTCCTGAGAGGAAAAGATGCCAAGGGATGAATATGCCAAAAACTTTTTGATGTTAGATATAACAGGGTCATTTTCATTCTGCATACTAATTACATACAGAATGCAAATCAGAGGCCAATGTTTTTATTTCTTCCCTTTGTCCTCTGTTTTGATTTGTTAGAACGTTCTTCATTACATTTCACTGTCTGGTCAGGGGATATCAGAGTAAACTGTTGAGAGACAGCTGCTTGTGCTTCACCAAGCTACTGCTTATGGCAGGGTGTTTTGTTCTTTTCTATTCTTTCTTCATTTTGAATCCCTATGCAGTGGGTCTTTTTAATTCTCTTGAATTTATTTCTTTGAGCCATTTATTTCCTCTTCCTTCTCCCTGTCTTTTCTTACCCTTTCCTCTATTCCCCCTCAGTCTCTATTTTGTTTTACATTTTCTCTGTTGTTTTGACTTCTGTCTCATTGGCATGAAAAGTAACTTTATAGAATCATAGAACATCCTGAGCTGGAAGGGACCCACAAGGATCATCGAAGTCCAAATCCTGACCCTGTGCAGGACACCCCAAGAATCACACCATGTGATTGAGTGCATTATCCAAATAGTTTTCGAACTCCAGCAGGCGTGGTGCTGCCATCACTTCCCTGTTCCAGTGCCAAACCACCCTTTGGGTGAAGAACCAACCTAAACATTGGGTTCTTTTTTTATTTATTTGTTTCCTTCTTTCTGAAGAAGCTGTGAAACTCCTTCCTGGATACCTTTATTCTGTTTGTGTCTTTGACCTTTTTTTGCATCCAGTGTTCTTGTTATACCAGTAGTTAGTAGGGGGTTTCGTATGCTTGTCTTGCATCTTACACAATAATAGATGGGGTTTTTTTCTCTGTTCTCTGAAAATGTTTCACATTTTCAGAAGCTTCCTACCTTGTAAGAGCTTCTTTTTATGCTTTCAATTATTGACTCCGTTCTTGTTTTCTTCTTTTCCATTCTTCTTTTTCTACTGTTTACATATGGAATTTGGATCTTGATGCCTTTCTGAGGAAATAGAAAAGAGGGAGGAGAGCATCATAGGCCAGGTATCCTAGAGATGGCATTGGAAAGAGCTGTATAGTGAGCAGAAGCTGTTCCATGAAGCTTATAAGATTAAAGATTCAGTATAAGACTGCAGTTCAGTATTTTTTCATTATAAAGTGTGTGGGAAATGTCAAGTGAACCACTGCATCCTCTACAAAATGCATTAACATATAAGCAAGGTTGCAGTTTTCCATGTTACAACTCTTATTAAGACTCTGTACCTGTAATATGATACTTTTCTGGCTTTTTTATTTTCTATAGTAAGGCAGTTTTAGTGTATGACTTCAGTACAGATATTTCATAGATAGTGTGAATAAAGGTTGATGTAGACATATGGTCTCATTTGATATTTTGTGGAATTACTTGAAATATAGCTCAGTGTAATTAAAATGTTACCTGGAACTTGCATATAATATAATGTATTTGATACAACTTATATCTGCAAGGTTCTAATGTTAAACTTTTTTATGTTAACATTAACATTTAATATTCTCATTATCGAAAAAAACCCCAAAACTTCGTTGTCCTTGTTTGGATGAACTGAAGGGAAATAAGGCAAAATAGTTTCTAATTTGTCAATCATTTTAGTTTAGTATATTCCACACAGGTTTCTTTTGGTAGGCTAAAAAGTATTATCAAATTCCCAATATATCATGGTATACTGGAGAAGATCTTGGCAAAGATTGGGAAGATGCCTTTGAGAGTTATTAAGATAAACTCAGAGGTTTATGGAAGTCCTTAAAGTCTTCCTGAAGCAACCTGTACTGGATCAAGTTACCTACGTAAGGTTTTACAATGTATTTAAAACAACTTGAATTTGGTCCTTTCAAAAAAGTATTTAAAGTTACATTGAAAGTCAAGGCAGCATTTCAGAATCTCAAAACGATTCATAGAGCAGTAAAATCTTTGCTCAGTTCTATGAGACAATAAATATCACTTAACACTTACTACTTGGAGGTAATTGTTTTTTAACTTTTTTGGTTTTGCCCATTTTCATTCAGTAGCTTCTTGATTGTATGAGTGCATGGTTTGGTATAGCAAGAGGGCTAACCTAAGAGGGCTTGTTGAAAGCTCATTTCTGGTGAAGATACAGAGTTTGGTATTTATACAATCAAGGTTTGGTGTAGGATGGAGCTGTGATGTAGGGTGCATTGGATTTCTAAGGCTCAGAGATGTCAGGTAAAGTGAAATGTAATCAATTTTGGCTTTACTACTGTTGGGCAATCTATATCACCACCTCTGATATTCAGTGATATGATCTTCAAAAATATATTTTAACACAATGTCCCTTTCATATATCATCACTGAGCTGATCAATCAAATGGCAAGATATATTTAATAAATATGCTTGCAACTCAAGCTCATAACATTCTAGGCATTTTAAGGAGGTATGTGGAGATGGTGGGCAGTAGTTTTGCAGTGCTCAAATCCAGGATGTGCTCTGTATATTTATTTAACACTTCCAGATAGAGGAAAGCCATACAGTATAAAATCATCACCTGAATTTGACCATAAAATACTACAAATGCTACCATATTTTTTTTTAAACTTCTTTATATCTAAAATAAATCAATGGAAACAACTAGAAATAGGTATATATTTTAAGTTTTTTTATTCTTTACACACCTTGTAATTGTTTACTATTGGCTGCTAAAAGAAGAGACAGATTAGCTTTACTTACAAGTATATGTTAAAACATAAAGCTGCTGACATCAGCTCTGATGGAGAGGTAGTGATCGCTTTCAAACTAAAAAAATTCAGCATTTCCCAGAAACATGTGAAACCATGTCTAGCAAACTGTGCCAGTCTTTTGAGAATGATCTTACCCAAGTACGAGTCAATTTTGCAACTGTTTTCATCAAGTATCTTAATCCACTTTTAAATGCACTGAGGTTTTTTTAATCTTTAAAGTGAACATTTGGCAATAGTAAACACCTTGTAGATCTGATGCAGTAAAGGGGAGGTGAGAGTTCATACGTGTTCAGGATATTGTTGTAAAAAGACAGTAAAGGCCAGCTTTTTATTTGGCATTTTACAGCTTCTCCCTTAAATATTAGAATAAATTACACATATTTTAGAGCTATGCCATATGTTGCTTTTGAAAGAAAGACATTTTCACTTATTCAGTGAATTGAGGCCTCATGTTACTCCCTGCAGACCATGTCATACCCCCTTCCAACCTCTCAGGACCGATGACTTATCCAAACCAAACATCTGCTTTTCCATTCAGTGCAATTATTCAGTGTGCTACTGGGGGCAGATGGTTGTTAATCGGCAGATCATTAATGTGGCAGGCTACTCTCTCTTTCTAGCCTTACAAAGGTCACAAGGTGTTAAGTTCTCTTGCTCCAGGCTGGCGAGATGCATATCTTCTCAGCTGGGTTTTTGATGTAAAACTGCAATTGAATTACTTGATACAGTTGTGGAGTAGCCTTTAATGAAACCTTTTTTTCCTTAAAAAATAACACATATTGTTTATACAAAGTAAGAATGATGCAGCCAAGAGCTGGTTAGTGTCAATTACACTGTAGCTGTCAGAAAGTTTGAGTGCTGAAATCTGGTGAGCGTGAATCCTAATCACAGAGCGGTGAGCATGCTCAGCTGCTACTCTAACACAGGCCCCAGCTATATGTGTCAATTTTCTTCAGAATTTAATTTAGCCCTAATGATGAAGAAATCTCTCTATTCACACAGTCCTGTCAAGTCAAACTTTGGACAATCTAAATGAAGTAGACGAGGGCTTCAGGGAGAAGTGGCAAAGTGACATGCTGAAGAGATTTCACTTTCTTTTCCATTCATGCAGGGTACATTGAGGAAGCCTGTATTATTCCATGTCCCTCAGACTGCAAGCTCAGTGAGTGGTCCAACTGGTCTCGCTGCAGTAAATCCTGTGGGAGCGGGGTAAAGGTTCGGTCTAAATGGCTCCGGGAAAAACCCTACAATGGTGGAAGACCCTGTCCAAAGCTAGATCATGTCAATCAGGTAATTTGATTTATATTTACATTACTGGCATATCTTTTTCCATACCTCAGATAACCGTTTTATCCATATTGTTTGTTGGTGTAGAAAAATGATACAACGTTAAGAGGCAGATGGAGGAGTATGTGCTGACTTAGAATTCCTCAGTCAGCAAAGAATCTGCCTTCATTACTTCCTTATCTACAAGAATTTAGCACAGTATCTGAATAGCAGATTAAAGACAATAAAATATTCTTCAGATTGTGAAGACCTGTTACCTGAAGGGAGCCTTCAAGAAAGATGGAGGAAAACATTTAAAAGAGCATGTAGTGACAGAACAAGGGATAATGACTTCAAACTGAAAGAGAGAAGGTTTAGAGCAAATATTAGAAAGAAATTCTATACCGTGAGGATGGTAGGCAATGGAAGAGTTTGACCAGAGAAGTCGCAAATGCCCCATAACTGGAACTGTTCAAGACCAGGTTGAATGGTGCTCTGAGCAACCTAGTCTACTGGAAGGTGTCCCTACCCATGGCAGGAGGGTTGGAACTAGATGATCTTTAAGGTCCCTTCTAGCCCAAGCCTTTCTGTGTTTCTATGAAAATGGGTAGAATGTTTCATTACAGTTGCTCAAACTGGCAAGATTCTTAGTATCCCTCTCTGACCATCTTAGATCAGAAAACAAAACTCTCAAACACTCACACATTATCAATCCCAGTGTCTGTTAGTGGGTTTTTAGTCAAACTGGAGTTTGACCTTCTCAGTATGCTTGCCCCAGCACTGCAGTTCCAGTCATGAATGGCACTTCTGAAATCCGTCTCCCAGTTCTCCCACTTTAATGATGTTACTCACTGCACTTTAGTGATGTTACACTATGCAGGAATCTGGCCATAGAATCTGTATCATCTTCAAGTGAAACTAAGCCAAAAAACATGATCCAAAACCACACTGGGAGTTCTTGGATAACTGATAAGCATGTAGTCCTTGGAACCAAGTTTAGCACTAGTCCAAGTCAAACCCCTGAAGCTTCTTTGCTTGGAGAGTTTTAGAAAGGAAAAATATTCCTTGTCAATTAACTTATGCTCTTCAAAGTTGATTTATATTCATATTACTGTTGAATTTAATTTAGTCTGCAGAGGCATGTTAAACAGCCACATGGTCTTTTCTGTAAATATTCAAAGATTTAAAAAAAAGTGCCGTCAATTTACATTTGAATAAAAATGCATGTACTTAATATTATCCTATTGACATTTTGCTAGCACAGAGTGAAATGCTTGTTGATCTCATTTTCTACTTTAGGGAATGTAATTAGTTCTAATTTAGAAAATAATAAGTGTTAAACTGCATCTAATAAATTAAGTTTGTGATCTACTTTAACAAAATACAAACTAGAATGAGAGTTGCTGGATTTGGGTCAGCATGTAAATATGCTTTAAATTTAGGAGGAATGTGATTCAATAGGAGCAAATTATAGTCTATACAGAAGTCTTTTTCCTTCTTTAATATTCATGTAGTACATAATAGGCTTTTTCTGCATCAAAGGTGATTTTACTGGAGGCCTGTTCACCACTTGTATGCAACACTATTGCCCTCTGCTGGTACTTTGACTCTAATTTGATTTGTGGCAATGTTACATGGTACTTGTCAAATAATAGTAGATGATTCAAAATATAACTATGGTAAAAATAAAACTGAAATATAGTACTTTCAAGAGAAGGAATCTCTACAGATAACATAAGGATTTTGAAGAATATAGAGGCTGTATCTTTCATTTTTAAATACATTCCCTGTCAATTCAAAAACATACAGGAAATACACATGCATAGTTACTTAATCTATTTAATCTAAATGTGATCCACCATTTATTCGGATGGCAAAGTACTGACTCTTCAGAATACTTATTTCAATTATTGAATGTAATTTGGTTTATTTACATATTTATTACTTATATATGTAACAGGGTTATTTGCATACATGCAAAGCATAATGGTTAGGTTGGATCTTTGGTACCCACCAATATGTGGATTATGATTTACAGGGGGCTATGCTTTAAGCTCAGATCTTGGAATTTTGAGCCTGAGGAAAGACTAAAACATGTTGTCTAGCCCAAGGAGCAGGAGATGGGAGGGAGGATGCTGGCAGTTTGATAGCACATACATAAAAGGCTGTTGCAAAGAAGGAGGAAATAATCCATTTTCCATGGCAATAATCCATTTTCCATGGCCATCATGGATAGGATAAAAAGCAGTGAGCTTAGACTGCTGCAAACAGATTTGGGTTAAGCCTTTGGAAAACTTTCTAATAGTAAGGCTAGGGAAACATTGAAATAAAATCCTTAAGATGTTGTTAAGAAGTTGTTCAGTGTCTCTCAGGGCTGGCATGTGTGCCTGTATTTTGGAGGAGACTGAACAGTGAACACATAGATGTCTCAGTGAGTCTCTTTCCTCTTGGACCGTGCATGCCAGGGTGGCTCCCAAAATACACTCCTGCTAAATGAAACTTGCTCATTACTCACTTCCTTAGGCTAAAAGGCTTCATAATTACAGTAATAATGGAGTCAGGTTTCTTATAAAATCATGTCCGTTACCTTCATAGGATTTCAAAGAAAGAGACTAATCTGAGACTGTTTGACAAATCAAGGACATCCCTGTCTTCATTGGCTCTAGGCGTTATTTACCACCTTGTCAGGAGCAGGTGGACATACAAACCTTACACTAACCAGCTGCTGTGGCCTGCAGTCATAGCTACAAAAGTGCCAGAGTGTCAGGAGAACACCGCTAACATGTGCAATGAAATATAGAGTTCTCCTTTGCACTTCTGGCAACATATCTGGATTTTATGTTACTGGAAAGGCTGTTGAATATGCAGGGTTTATGTATTTCTTCTTATGCTAATCAAGGTCAGACATATAGACAGTTCTCTGGATTAAGTCTTCTCTATTCTCATTTTGGAAAGTGTAGGGTAGAATTCTGAAGAACAAATTGTCCATGGAGTCCAGTATCTTACTTAACATGCATTTACAGCACACGCCTTTATGCCCGAATTAATGCTTATGTAGTTCAAAGAAGGCCTGAGTATGCTGACTGTGCTAGTGGTCTTGTGCACGGACTGATCAGCTGCATGGTGATATATCAGACACATTCAGTGTTCAAGGCAGTATATTTTTTGTGATTGGTGGTATTTTCTTGCAGATTAACTATCAAACCATCAACCCTCTTTTTCTACATAACAAGTGTTGCTAAAAAGTAATCAAACACTTGTTTAAGACAATGTCTTAGATGGTCTAGCAATATTAGTTACGCTGACTTGATAACTAGAATGATATGTGAAGTTGGCTGGTATAAGTTAATATTGAGGCAATGGACTTCAAGTAAACCATGCATAATTAAGATACTCAATGAAAGATCTTGGAACCTTGGAAGGATGAGAACTGCCAGTTGCATTATTCCTTTGAATCTATTGCACTTAATGCTGTCAAACAATTTCAATTAATAATGAAGTCCGGTATCCTCCAAAAACACAGAGGATTTACTCTAATCTTGGGGAAACTGGATTTTCTACTGGGTGAAGGTTCGATGCTCATTATAGGCAAAGAGGGAAAACAGTTCTATCAAATGTTCAGGACTGAGAAAGAGATTGTGTGATTTACAGTTTCATCCCACCAACTGTGGTTTATAAACTTTCATTTTCTTCCAAGGGCAAACTTCTTGCAAAATGCCTCATGACAGCAAGGGGCATCCAAGAGGAAATATTGGATGCCTTTTGCTTTGCAGAAGTAACAGACTATTATTTGTAGTATAAGCTAAATTAATGTCATTTAAATACATATGCTTCACTCTAATCATTCTACCTTTTTCTCTTTGTTGTTTTGTTTTTCTCCTGTTTGTTTGTTTGTTGTTGTTTTTTCTTTTGGGTTCATGAAAATACTTTCTTCAGGCTCAGGTAAGTGTTTCTAAAATAGAGATTTAACCTTAACACATGCTTCCTGATTATGCCCAATGTTTATGTTGTCTGTCCCTTTTTTGTAATGTATACCTGAGACAGGAGATGAAACACTGTATAAATTATTGTGTGAGATGCTATTTCAAATTTGTTGTTCAAATCCAAACACAATACTAATGCTGGATAAATATATTAGAGTGATTATGATCATACACAATGAATAAATAAAATTAACCAATATATGTTAGTATAATTTCCCTTGAGGTCACCCTTGTTAGAAATACAAATCGCCCACAACTAATAACAGTGGAATGGAATAGTGGAGGGGAGATGCGAAGAACAGAGGTAAAGTGTTAGCAAAGTTTTAGCAATATTTTCTAAAAGGTATACTCATGAGCTAGCCTAGTTACAGAATTTATGTTAGTTGTGTTCATGTTTTTGGTGAATATGGCACAATATGGACTTAGGGGCAGAGAAAACCAGGGAATCCATCATTAGTTAGCTTTTGTCTTTTTGTTATTTGATAGTTTTTTATCAGGTATTTAATCTGTATTATTACTATGGCCTTTAATTCATCAAGTTTATATTTGTCATTCTTACCAAAAAGAACATTGACCTTTTTTTTGTATGATCACTGTTGCATGTTTATCTTACTTGTGTGCAACAAAACTGACACTGAATGTGGATTCCAGGTGTATGAGGTTGTCCCCTGCCACAGTGACTGCAGCCAGTACATATGGGTTACTGAGCCTTGGAGCGTCTGCAAAGTGACCAATGTGGACTTAAAAGAGAATTGTGGAGAAGGTGTTCAAACAAGGAAAGTCAGGTAAAACAGTGTTGTTCCTCCTTCACTTTAGAGAACCTTCACTTTCAGTTATGGCTGTATTTAATATGATGTAATTCTGTGTAATGTACAGCATTGAGTCCAACCATAACGTATCACACCTGAATTCTGCCTGATTATAAATCAGATTAACTTCACTGAGTGCAATATGACTCTGTCTACTGATTATGGATTACCTTGATTCCTAATTTATTTAATTTATTGGTAATTAAATAGCATCTGTGGGAATTAGGGAGTAATACTAAGCATATAAATTTTTAAAGTTTTAATAATTCTGGATTTAAAATTATAGTCTAATTATACACAAAATATGTCTAAACTATAGATGATTTGCATTATTGTGGCTTAGTGGTAAGCTAATGTCAAGCAAATCACTTGCCCAGAAGATCTCAGCAAATTACTGATAGGGATTGTCTATATTATGTGCATGTCTTTATGTGGCTATTATCTGTAAAAACAAGGATTATTTTTGGCTCTTGGATATTCATACATCAATATTCAGGTCTGTTATGTGCTGACAAAATGTTGAAATGTTTTAGAATAGTGTAGAATGCAGTTACTGTACAAAATCCACGACAAATGCAGTTTATGTGCAGTTCTTTTTTCCAGGTGCATGTTAAACACTGTGGATGGTCCTTCTGACACTGTAGAGGACTATCTGTGTGATCCTGAGGAGATGCCACTTGGTGCTCGAAAATGCACATTGCCATGTCCTGAGGACTGTGTTATATCTGAATGGGGATCATGGTCTCAATGTTCTTTGGTAAGAAGTAGACTGAAGTGTCAGGTTTACAGTTTTAGGTGGATGCTTTAAAAATGTACACATGATGTATTGTGCAGAGATGCTGAAATGAGCAGTGATTACCCATGCAAATATCTATATATAGTGTCATCTTTACGGTTCTTGATTATTCGCTGTAAATTAAGTATGCCACTATTTTTCTTCAAGCAAAATTACTCCAAAACACAGACTAAAATGTCCCAGTGGTCAATCCTTAGTGAGGGGTGCCTTCTGTGTAGTGGAATAGCTTTGGCAGTGGCTTGGGAGTCTGTCTGAGCCTAGCTCTGAGCCTCTCCATAGCAGCACAGTCACTGTACTGAAAGTGTCACTATCTGATAACGAGTGAAGTCTGTAGATCAAGACTGAACATAGAAAGGTAATTTTGGGCCTTTTTTCCCGTTCCTGACAGTAATTTCAAGAAGAAATGTCAAAAAAAAACAAAACAAAAATGAAAGTGTTTCAGAACCTCTGAGTACTGATGCTCTGATGCACTACATTATAGCATTTAAAAAGTGAACCTCTCAATATCCAGTTATGAGTGAAATAGTTACAAAGCACTAGTACTGAAATATGCAATAATCAGGAAAATAGAGAGGTGTTAACTAGTTAAAGGATATTTCACCTTGGGTGTTACCAAGGTGCAAGAGCAAGTTCTCTCTGAAATAAAAAGAAAAGGGTTTCTCTTACACAGAAACATGAACCCGTTATGTGACACTTGTGTTTTGTGAAGGAATTACTTGAAAGGTTGTTATAAAGGCTGCATAAAAAAGTATCAGGGTGCCAAAATATCAAAGCTGTTTCCAATCTCCCTTTTAAGCCATGCAATGGAAGTAGTGTTCGTGAAAGGTCAGCTGAATCCCTGAGACAACCAGATGATGGAAAGCCTTGTCCTGCTGCCACTGAGACAGAAGCCTGCACTTTGAACAAGAACTGCTACCACTATGACTACAATGTGACAGGTATTTGTGGTGCTATGCTCTAGTGGCAGCCTGGGACTACTGTTTACTTCCATTTACCTTACAGGATGGATTTTTAAGCTTTCTGTTCTTATCCAAAGGGAGTTGTGGAACTTGTACTGAAAACTGATTCAGGCTATTTGATCCCCATAAAACATTAAATGGAGGCTTTGCAACTTAGGTGAAATGGGTATGCTGTAACTCCAGGAAATTTATTTCTCCTATAATTTGGGGATTTACTCAAAAGCCATGCAGAAGAAACCAAATATGAACTTTTCAGGAAAGCACCATGGCACTGACTATTTGCAGTAAAAGTCACTGTTTCCAAAAACGTATAGCAGCTGGGCTCCATGGGCCTTTGCGTGTGTAAAAGTTGATTGTGAGGATTATTTTAGGCCATTGGAGTTAGAATTAGATGGGAGACTGGATCATTAAGAATTCTATCTGAAAGTCTGCTATGCTAATGAATTCGTCTTTTCCAGACTGGAGCACATGTCAGCTCAGTGAGAAGGCTGTCTGTGGTAATGGCATCAAAACACGGATGCTTGACTGTGTTCGCAGCGATGGCAAATCGGTTGACCTGAAGTACTGTGAAGAGGTGAGTGGGTACCTGTGAGTAAGCTCCCTTCTAATGGTGCTAATTAATACTGAGCAAACTGAGCTGCATGACATCTTCACCAGATGTTTTGCAACACTATTCACGGGTTGTTAAGTACCTCTGAAATGAACTGATCCATCAGGAGTGATTTTTATATTATTTCCTTTGGTTACTTTTAAGTGCCTCCATGAACATATGCTAATTATTTTGTCCTGAAGGAAATTACTTAGAAACAATAATTAATAAAATCCAATAAATGTAATAAATCTTAGTCAGAATACTAATCATAATTCTAATTTGATACAATTTCTGCATAGAACCTTGGACACCTGCCAGTATCAATCATTTACTCAGTGTGTTGTAAAATATTTCTCATGTGCCATTCTGCAGCTGGGCTGAATGCTAAGTTCTTGTATCCAGCTGTGCGATGGAGAAGATACCCAGGCTAGTGTGAAAAAATGTGCAGCATGAATGTAATATTAAGTAGGAGCATATATGGAGAACTACCTAGCAGACCTTAAATTTTGAAAGAGCCATTTTGCAAATGTTCAAACTAACCTCAAATTTGACAGCACTGGCTTCCTGACGTTTGTTTGTCTTAATATTTTCAATTGCATGGAGATGGTAGTATGTAGGAAAACAGTAGGAAGACAACACAAATTGTACATTAAGGGCAATCCTACATGCATTTCTGATGGAAAGTAACTGCACTTGTTTCAACTGCCGTTCCACCATTACCATGACGTAAGAAACAAAATTAGTTGCCATGGGGGACAAAGGTGGAGTGACCTCCACAGTGGCTTTGGTACCAACAGTTTTCTGTGTGATCCTTCTGACTAGTAGCTGCTCTTCAGGATGTACCCATAGAAAACAGTCTCATCAGAAGTGGAGGGAGTCAGGAGACTCATCATTTACTTTGGGCTATCGTTTCGTAGTGGTGTATCTGACCTACTAAAGTTTCTCCAATCTCCTCTGGCATTCTGGATTCCTGAATCTCTACATTCTTAGCAAAGGCAGGAGGTTTCAGCTGAGACTGGCACTCTACTTCCTTTCATGGGCAGGGTCACCTTCCACTAGACCAGACTGCCCAGAGCCCCATCCAACCTGGACTGGAACACTTCCAGGGATGGGGAATCTGCAAAAATTTTGTCTCAAAAAAAACACCACAGTATCTGACTATCTACCAGCAAGTTGTTGCGAAGTTTATAAGGCACTGCATTAATGCATTCTATTAATGGTTTAATGTGTTAAGAAAAATGTCTGTCAGGTTATTTCTAAGATACTGCAATATCGATTAATTAATACCAAGACATGCTATAAAATATCCATCCACATAAATATTTCAATAGAAAAAATATGATTTATTAGATTTTAAGGGGAAATATTTTTCTTCTACCATAAAACAAGAAATTATTCTAGTTGTTAGCCAAAGATTTAAAGCAACATTTAGAACAAATGATTACATTTTACACTGAAATCTCATTTCAGAAAGCCTCAGGAGCTTTCCTGCCTTTAAGAAATGAAAGTTTATTACTCAGAGAAATTCTTATTTGCTCTTTTGATTTGCTAGATCATACAGAGATATATCTTCCTGTAGAAAGCTCTGATCCACTCCCCAGTCATACCATTAAGACTCTTTGTTGAATTATGGATGTGTAAGCAGTGGTACAACAAGGTCAAAGGCTGATCCAATAACTTAAGTGTAAAACCTGTTAACCTGATTAACAAGAAAGCCAAGCTGTTCAGATCTGAACAGACCCTTCACTGTGAAGACGTGAAAGTCAACGCTGTGACCTTCCAGGTCATGAGAGGAGAGTATTCAAGAAATTATCAAAGTGTGAATACATACTGTGTACTTCTTGCTAATGATCCTTCAGAGTGGGGATTTTTGCTGTGGTTTTGCGCTATAAGGACAGTACAGAAAGATTAAGAGAAGTTCAAAATAAGGTACATGGGGTTGGAAAAGTTGATAAGTAGGAGAAATATGAAATAAGTTTGTAATGGCCTAGCTAATAGAATTTGCCTGGGCTATCATAAAACTTTATACTAGATGTGTGAATAAAAAGGTTTGTTTAATTTATTTGTACATACATTTACTGAATTATGTTTCTTACTACTATATGCAAAGTAGATCAGAATAGATAAACCTACTCTGATCCCTAAGAAATTAGGACAGTGATTTCAGTGTCTGAGTTTCTGTATAATAGATGGCTCAAGAAACTAATAAAAGGCATATATAAAAACCCCTTTGCTGACTTTTGCCCATCACAATCTCCAATACTAAAAGCTCCAGTGTAGTTAAATACTAACATTCCTTCTGAGCCCCTGCGTTCTGGTTTCCTTATGCATCCATGTGATCTTGAGTTTGTTTCAGTCAATCAGCTAAAAAAGGTGGCCAGTCATCCTGATTACTGCCAAGATAAATCAATTTCTAGAGCTTATTTCCAAGTCCTGGTTATGTTAATGTAGTTCTCTTCACACTCCCAAGGCACAGTAATACTGGATTACTTCTTTCTAACTCTACAAAATTAACACCTCACACGAACTTTTCTTTTCTTTGAGTTTGAAAATCAAATCACCAAAAGCAAGCTGGTCCTGGTCATATTCCTATTATAAATTTATTTTCATTAATTTACCTTCAATTAAAGATGAGAAAAGCCTAGAAACCAGCAGGGTTTTTTGCATTAAAGCAAACTTTTCCGTTTTATTGGTAAATAGTCTGCTTGTCAGATTACGTGATTAACCTCTGGCAGCATGGGTTAATCTGTGGTGCCAAACACTCCTATAAACAAATGCAGATACTTTTTGTGGATCACAGGGTTTAAAGAGCATGCTGGTCTGGCAGCTTGCTGCCCCTGGCATGTGTGACCAGGAGCACAGGGTACTCGGGGGTATCTTTCAGTACTTGCAATTGTCAAGTCAGAAACCACAGCTCATCCAGAACAGAGGCTTTCAGGTAAGGGGGCTACTGGACGCTTTTTAAAGGTTTTCTGAGCTCTTCAAGGTGAATTGTTGTTCATAAACTGAAGGAAGGAGAGGAATTAGAAAAGAATATGTGATTACTATCAAATTGCAGCCTGTCAATTGCTCCCAAGATCTGTTTAAGCAGCACTTTAGTATCTAAGACATGCAAATAGAAGGTCACTGTGGGTAATCTGGACTTCAGCTTTCTCCTCTTCATTGTTAATATCTCTCTTGGGCTTTTCCCTCTTGAGCTGACAAAGTCCATCTGAGAAGGCCAGTCTCAAAAGAGAGCAGTTGTGTTTCTATAATTGGCAGGAATCAAATCATCAGACTTTAAAGCCTTTGCTCAGAAGATTTGACCCAAATAAGGACTTCAAAGAGGGTTCTCTAGTTTCCTAATCATCTGAATTCCAGATTATCCAAAGGTTTCAGGTGTTGCCTGTGTATGATAGCTGTATAATGAGGCTATGCTGAACCACTGAGAAAAGCCAAGAACTCATTTTTTGATGTATAAAACAGAACAGAGGTCTAAAACCTCATTTGTTTCAATAAATGGTACTGCAAATGCAAATTTTAAACATGGTGAGTCTATCAGGAGGAGACATTTCCAGTACTTGTGGTAGTTTATTTATGGAGGACATGTTAATGTTGTGCCTAATTATTGCTCTATGCTTGTGTTTAGTAGGAAATAGTGGTTTTGTTTCCCTTTTAAAGTCTTAACTGCTGATTTTATGTCATTAACCTCTGCAGTCATTAAAATTAATAGGTTTTGAAATGTCGTTTGCCTTTTTTTTTTTTTTTCTTTTTAAAGTATGTGAGGATTTTATCTAGTTAAAGATATTCACAACCTCCTGGGATTCTGAAAGGCCTCAATGATGATCAAGGTCTGCTGGTGAGGTCCAATGAAGAGAACAGTCTTTTGTGCTGTAGATCTGTTCATATGGGCAGGATTGATTTTCTTTCACAGTTTATATCATATACCTTATACCTGGGCTGTCCTTTAACTCATTCTGGGGCCAACTCATTAGGCAAAGGACCACGTAGCGGTTGTTCCATGTCCCAAGCATGATCATAAAACTCTTCTTTCCCTGGGAGGGAGGGGATTTCCATCATTTGTTATTGTTAGGCTGAATCCAGCTCAGAGAAGAGCTGAGTACAGAATATATTTTGGGTAAAACATGTGAGTCTGATTATTTTCTCTGTCCCCTTCTCTCATACTCCTCCAGCAATTGCAGCTTTCACTTTATGAATGTTAGCAGATTCTGCTATTTGCAAAGCTTTTCAGGAAAACATACAAAGCTGTATTTATTTATTTATTTTTGAGGGAACATATCATTGTCAATGTCATGTCAATAATTTTGCATGGATAGCATAATATATATCATGCACTTATACAGCACATTAGTAAAAAAAACAAGATAGGCATAAGCAGATGCCTGAGGAAGAATAAGAAGGACAGACATCCATGACTTTTCATTTACTACTTTTGCAGCCTTCACCACTTTTCTGCTCTTGGACTGCGTTTGCCTGATGGGGTTTCTGTCTGTTTAAACCTTCAGATTTCTCTTTCATTAACTTGTTCAGTCTCTCTTGAGCTCCTGTAAACTTAGCATCTGCAACATCTTTGGATAAATAAACTGACTGTACAATACATGTTCATCTTCCTCCTTTTGCTAGTTTTGAACCTGGCTCCTAGCATCACTTCAATTCAGTTATTAATAGCTGCTGGTAATTCAGTATTTTTAAATTCCTGTTTCAAAATACTTCGTTGATACTTCATAAATTACTTTGGCCTTTATCTTGTAAAAAGTAATATTGTAGAGCTGAAGCCCTCCATTTATAGGGTCTAGTTTAGAAAATGATTGATGAAAATATGATTTAAGCATGTATTAGGATGGCCTTGAAGTGACATTTCTGATGTCCTATTTGCTTTACTTTTTATTTAGTAATGACTTCATACTTGCATAAATCTTTAGGTATCTCAGATTCACCATGTCCCAATGTATCACACTGCACTGATGACAGAGAGGCCTGGAGTTATGTGCTGACTGTTTAACATGTTCTTTTAGCTTGGTCTGGAAAAGACGTGGCAAATGAATATGTCCTGTGTGGTGGAATGTCCTGTGAACTGTCAGCTCTCTGACTGGTCCCCTTGGTCTGAGTGCTCTCAAATATGTGGCCTTACAGGTCAGTATGTACCTTTTATATATTTTAAAGACTGAACTCTTGGGTTTTTTACTTTAATAAAAGCAATAACACCTCTTTTTGCAGAACTCTAAAATGTAGCTAGGTAAAGAGAGTGACAGAGATCTAAATCAGTCTTATTCATGGAAATAATATGCTTTAGTGAGACTTTACTCACTGAAGATGAGAATTTGGTCTGATATAGTTTCTGACTCTGGGAAAAAAGTGATATATGATGAATGATATATTGAGCCAAAAATAAACATTGATGTGGATATTTATTTTTCAGCTGGTTGGGGGAGAAAAAGGAGAGAGGATTTTCTCTTAAGTTTCATTATTAGTGATGAGTTTAGAACAACTGAAATTGTAGAAGTGCACAATGATTAAAACCAATAAATTTACTCACTGCAGTTTTAAAAACAGAGCAAGCATGGAGGTACAAGTTACTTTCACTGTAATTGCACTAATTTGGTTTTTTTTCTGAAATGTTGCTGATCACTATCTAAGTTTTTTTTAAATCAAATATGTCAGAGAATGGAAATCAAAGGCACATTTTAGTTATGGGAAACTCTTGTTATTTATTTGCTCTGAAATGTCTCAGAATAAGTTCTTGAAGGTTCTTTCAAAGTGTGACTTGTATAATAAAATAATCTACACTTCTGTATTCAAAGTAATCTTCATAGAATGAGAATTGAACTAACAGCTCCACTGAAGACTTAAATATGTTGCCAGATTTTGCTTTACAAGCTTTACGCTACGTACAAAACCTGAACTGACCTGATATTTTTCTGAATGAGAGTTATTGTTGCTGTGCTTTTTCAAAAAGTGAAGGTGGGTCACTATCTGAAATACCTGTACTTTCCAAGTATAGAATTTATTTGTGGAAGTTAGAACATTTATTTTAAATAGTAATGTAAAACAGCTTTCAAATTTTCAGTGTTTTTAACTGATGGTGACAGCCTCACATCTAAACCTTCAAGCTACAATTTTCCTGTGCAAGAATTTGGAAGTAACTAGTCTTTTTCAATAAGTAATAACCATGTAATAAACCCACTGACCACAGAGCTAAACTGCTTTTCTGCATCCATTTAAATATCCATAAAGCTGAGGAAGAATTCTGCTCTTTGCTGTTCTTTGGAGGTTTTTCTGCAGTATTTTTTAAGAAAGTCTTCTTTTCTCCTGTGACATCTCACTTGGAGCAGCTGTGAATTCAAGAGTGATGAGGCTCTGGTTGGCAAACATCTTTCTAGCTGTCTGCAGTGAACACAGCTGTCTGGGAGATTTATATAGTTCTGCTTGTGCATCATGGCTTGTGTAGCTTGCTCTCAGCAAAAGATCCGTGTCGTTATCATTAGGATGCTCAATTCCAAATGCATGAGACTGAAATGTAGAATTAAACATTAATTCTTTGGCCAGCTAACATCAGGGGTCATGTAGGTAAACCTGTGTAATGCCTTAGTATACAAATTTAAATACATACATCTTTTTCAGACTTGACTCTTATATTTATATATAGATTAAAATACTACAGCTGTGTTGGTTTTATGGAAACTCTTGTGAGATGACAACTCTAGAACAACCACTTGGCCACTACTTCAGACACAGAAGAAAATTTTTGGTTATATCACATGACATCTCTGTAGTGAAGCGTAATGGTCTAATGTCCACTGCAAGATGAAAGAAGCAAGAGTTGCTGAAAGGATAAAAATTTCTTACCCTTTCAATTTATATAAGTATTTGAATTAAAACCTGTATCTCAGTGAAGCTGAGTACTGCTCATGGCTGAAGAGAAGATTAATGTCAGATGAGCCTCCTGCATTTTAATTTTCGGCCTGAGTGAAGAATCCTCCATCTCCTGCAAAATCTGCATGTCACGTTATCCAGACAGACAGTGATGGAAAGTTGCAAGCTGTTCCCTTTTGCTGGAATCAGACAATTATGGAATACATGTTTTTGTGTTAGGGAAGAACAGAACATGTTGGTCTCTTCTAGCAGAAAACTCGAGATAAGGACCAGGAATCTCCAGTGAAATGCTACAAACATATTGTCACTTTCAGAAAGAATATTTTTCTGCAGACTTGTGAACTAGGAAATTACTGCTTTTGTTTGCTGTTACAGGAGCAATGCTAATTAGACATCTTCCTGCACTTGCAGTACAAACAAACAATAAAGTGTCTGTCTTGGAAAATATGAATCCACATAACAGACAGGAGCCCGCAGATCTGTTTTACAATCCAATTTTTCAAATGTGGAAAAAATTACTTTATTCAAATACAACACTTTTCAGCAAAATAGAACCATCTTGAAGAATAAATAAGTCTAACCACTCTGTTGTTAATTATATTACTGTTTCTCGTTTACAGGAAAAATGATCAGAAGAAGGACCATAAATCAGCCATTTCAGGGTGATGGGAGGCCTTGTCCTTCTCAGATGGAGCAATTCAAACCCTGTCCAGTAAAACCTTGTTATCGATGGCAATATGGTCAATGGTCTCCATGCAAAGTAGAGGTAAAAGCCATCGGGACTTTGAAGTTACGGAACTTGCATATCTAGGCATATTTGGGATATACCCAGATACCTTCTTCACAATGCTGTAAACAATTTGCTTCCACCTCCCTTATACAAAAACGAAATATTTTTTTCCTTAGAGTTCATATTTGTCAACAGATACAACAATGTCCTACAGATATTAAAAGTATAAATGTAAACTTTGGTACCCAAGCAGCATTTTTGCTAATAATTTAAATATTTCTATTGTAAAAGTATATCAGCAGAAATATATTCACATACTAGAAGAGATCTTTACTTGAGATACTGCCATGGTTGCAGTTCAAAGGCTAGCAGCCACCAGAAATTTTGGGTTGGGTTTGTTTATTTGTTTCAGAAGTATTGAACTATGTCTTTTTTTTTTTTTTTTTTTTTCCTCCTCACTGGAATGAATAAGTAGTTAAGCAAAAATAATAGAAGACAGAATGACACATAAATCAGACTTAGTCTTTTGACACATTTTCTGTCCACTATCTATATATGTTCTCCTTCTATAGGATGCTCAGTGTGGAGAGGGAACACGAGTGAGGAACATTTCCTGTGTGGTTTATGATGGATCCATTGAAGATGATGGCAAAGTAGTAGATGAGGAATTCTGTGGAGAAATAGAACCTATTATAGATGGGGATAAGAAGATGATACTTGAGGAAACCTGCACTGTCCCTTGTCCAGGTAACAAAGCTGTTCAAAAAATTGTTGCTTTTCAAGATTGGTTGGGTGTCATTACAGTTATTAGTGCCTAGCATTAGCCACAGGCAATTAAATCTTTTCATGTGCTTTACTGATTGGATTCATCCATCAAATGACCGACAGAGTTACTTTCCAGGAGTGGCTTCATGACAATAAATCAATTAGAAAAATACCACATTTTAAATTTTATGAAAGACATCTCAGTCACCGATCATACCGAAGAATAATATATTTTTTCACAAAATCTTTTTAAATAAATAAATAAAAACTCTGTAGAGCGCTGGTTTACAGCTAAATATTTAAGTCCTTAGATCACCTAACAGCTTTACTAATACTTTTACCAGTGGCTAAGAACTTGATGCCTTTTATGAGTGTCTAAGGAGGCTAAGCTAAGGGGTCTTATTTTTTTCTTTAAAGGGTCTATTCCAAATGAAGTTATTGTTTTGATCTCTGAGAAAACATGAATGCCTCTAGCTGTTTAACTCTCTGGATGGGACATGCACTATCATTGCCTTTGTGAACTGAATCCAAAGGAGCTGTTATGACTTATCAGGTCCATGATCCTCATACTGAGCAGGATTAAGAGCACATAGCAGCTGTTTAATTTCTAGTAAAACCCATCCAGTTCATTTCAAACACTTACTTGTAGAATCTGAAGTATGTTACTGTTGTTCAGTAGTCATTAATGATGTCTTCAGAAGTGATTAACTCCTTCAGTTCTAATGTAGCTATCATTTCTTACCAATACCCTATTTTCATTCTCTTTCAACTCTCTGCTTTCCCAGATTTTTCTTTTCCAGTTCATTGCAGATTAGACTGAATGTAAAGTTGTCTCAATAAATAGAAATTAATCAAAAATGGAGAGGCTTCCATCACTGCTTTGTACATAGCATTCCAAATGCATGGTTTTCACATATTTTTACTTTTTAAATAAAAATTGGAAGAATATTAAGCTTGTGGTTATGTTTTCATATTGGTCAAGTTTAAAAAAAATAGCTGCTTACTGCTGGCTTTTAAAATTTTGCTGAGCAGGAACGTATTCTTCCCCAGTCTCATATTTAGCCAGCAAGAATAACTGCCCTGTGGGGATGTGCTAATGATACGCTCCAGCTAATGTTTCTAGAAATCACTGCTTGTTTTCCTATTATGTATATACCAGTTTGTCAATTATTCATTTCTTCGCATGCTTTCCTAGCGTTGGCAAATAAAATTCCTTCATTAATCAGGCATCTGGTCAACACAGTACTGATTATATCTGCCATCAGTATAATGCAAGGTAGCATGAATTTTTAATAGCTTTTTCACTGAAATAATGAGAACTAAGAGGTTTATTTATGAGTCTGTGCATAGTCTAGTCCAATTTTTGACTGCAGTTTTAAAAAAATGGTTCCTTTGTGTTGTGCCTCAGATCTTCCTTAAATGTTCTTTAGCTGTTCATGCTAATTAGTATAATTTTATTTTTCAGTTTTACACTATAACATCCTAAAAATCCCTATTATCCTAACATGAAATAGCCAGAGCAGACATTTTAATCACATTCCCATTTCCCTTTCTTGCAAAGAATGTTCCAGCAGTTGAATCTACATCTGTTAGAAGAAATTCTGCATGAGAATAAGCAACAATTAATCTTTTTAACACCAGAAAATGTTTTCTCTTTCTAAGATCAAAGAAGAATTGCAAAGAAAGATACATAAATTTAGCATAGGACATACAATACCTTAAAATTTACAAAAAATCAGATATTGGATGGAGCATTGTTTAAAAATTCAAAACCAGAATGATCGTATGGGAATGCTACAGGAAACTACCCTACTTTAGAACAAATAGGCCTTTGTATAATCTTTTTTTTTTTACTATTTTCTATGACACAGATATTCAGAGAGTGTCAAAATATCATTTTCTCTTAAGTACAAGTCAAATTTAAAAATAGGAATGAAAGGAACTAAAAAGAAGGAAAATTAAGAAACCAGATATGGACATTTTTTTCTAAGACATATTCAGTGCAAAAAACTCTTTACATACAATGATCATTCATCTTATAAAAATTGTTCTTTGACAGGGGACTGTTACTTGAGAGAATGGTCAGAATGGAGCCTTTGCCAGCTTACCTGTGTTAATGGTGAAGATCTTGGCTTTGGAGGAATACAAGTCCGATCTCGAGCAGTGATCATTCAGGACTTAGAGAATCAACATCTCTGTCCAGAACAGGCTTTGGAAACAAGACCATGCAATGGTAAGTAAAAAAATATGCATAAAACCTCCTCCTGTAAGAAAAAAACCACAGAACACCAATAATTTTGTTTTCTTTCTGTTCATGGTTCACAAATTTAGGCAAGTGCCGATTTGATAACTATCATAATTACCACTTTAAAATTATCCTTTTTTAACAATTACATTACATCAGATTTACTCAAAAAGCAGAGTGTACAACCTTTATAGTTAGAGTCCAGGACACATCTGGTCTATTCTGTATGTGTCCAGTAAGTGCAGGAGACCTTGGAGCTACCATTTATGCAGTGCACCCTTCTAAGTTGCTGAATGAAACAGAAAGATGCCTACTTAGCTGTTCAAGCTGTTAATCATAATGAGTATGGTCACAGAATGAGAATGATCTACTCATGAGTGTAGCTGCTGACAGTGGTAGCCTAAGATCTTGTCATCAAATTTCTTGAAAAAACAAATTTTCTTGCTGTAGATGGCCAGTGCTATGAATACAAGTGGATGGCTAGCCCATGGAAGGGATCCTCTCGGACCGTGTGGTGCCAAAGATCAGATGGTTTAAACGTCACAGGTAACTACTCTTTTTATACACACTGAAAAAACCTATAAAACAGGTGGATAATGTGTTTTCCCAACAAATTTAAAAAAAAAATAGAAAAGAAAAAAACCTGCTAAAACCACTTCCTGGTGTGGGAATTGACATGTTGTCTTGAATCATTCTCTCTTTGCATACTAAAGATGTGATTTCTTTTCCAGAATTATGCAGCAAGTAATGCTAAAAGTAAATATAAATATTATCTTCTGTAGTGGACCTGAAATATTTTACATTATGTGTGGTTGGGTTTTTTTTTAACCATAGGCATCTTTGCACTTCTAAATTTAGAGTTTTAGATTTCAAGCTCTACAACAAATAAAACTTTTATGTATTAAATGTCATTTCAGTGCCTATACAAAGACAGAGAAAGCTGCAAACTTGATAATGTCATCCATATATGATACATCTCCTTAAAATTACCAAATATCAAATTTTAATAAATGTGCTTATAAAAGTTTACTTGTTTACTTCAATGTCATAAATCTATATCAGGATACTTCAGTGGACAGCTATGAGATGCAGTGAAGTTTTTTTGCAAACCAAAGCATAAAAAACATGAATTAAGGATAACTGAGGTCTCAGAAGAAAATCTTCATATCTGTTGATTTATATGGATTTATTTTTCAGAAATAGGGATTCATTGAAGTTAAGAGTTATGCATTTGTTGTTTAAATAATTTTTGTATCAGCTCAGATGATAGTAAAAGAGTCCCAGAGATTGTAAACACATCCTCAATGCCAGCCACTGCCAGGTCAGTCACAGGAGGGGAGCTGTTATTCAAGGACTGTCAATACAATACTTCCTGATGTTGGAATCCACCACTCTTGTTTGTTGTAACAGTAGAAATAAAATATCTGTGTTATCTTTACAAGGTGTTGAAATAATAGCTCAAAGTCTCTTGCAAATCTTACTATTTATCTTGCAAATCTTAGACTATTAAAATGCATCACGTTCACAGCAAATGCAACAAGGCATTATTTGTGCACCTTGATTCCTTCCTTCTTAACTAAGATACTTGTATGTTAAGTAAAACTGTTAAGTAAGAATTCTTTTTGTGAGATTAATATAGGATATTATCTATGAAAGGTTCTGTAGGATTTCAAAATAGGTAGCATCTTGGAGACTATGGCTCTGAGATGTTAAAATCAGAATGTATTCATAAATCACAGTCAGTCACATGAAAATAATTTGTTTTAATGTGACTAAGTATGACGATGTGGTAAATTCCAGGAAAGACAAAGGTATGAATATGTGTTGTTGGCAGAATTTTCATAATGGGACCTTCTGTGTTAACAAACCTCAGACCTATACTGTATATCTTTTTTCAAAGACATTGAAAGACATTTCTGTTTATATGTGGCTCTAAAGCTGTGTTAACTTTCTGGTTTGATATGAAGACTGGTGGAAAATTCCAGAACACACAATCACCAGTCTCTATGCAATGCAAAGTTATATTTTTCATATGTTTCTGATTGTTTTCAGACAAAGCACTAAAGTATAAGAATTTCTCTACATTAAATATACAGTAGTGAACCAGATTTTAATTTGCAATTGTACATTTTTTGGAAGTGTTTTGTATAAAACAACACTTTAAGAGCTCAAACTGATAGATGCCCTTACATGATTGATTTAAATGAAGATTACCTATTGTGATCTAGAATTAACCCATATCTCTGATGACTGTGTTTCTTGTCTGCCTTACTGTGTTTCTTGTCTGCCTTATTACTGTGCATTGGGCTCTAACATAATGTATTTCAATTCAGACACTATCAAATAATTATTGTGACTCCTGTTGGTATTTTAAGGTCTTTATCTATTTACTTATTTGCATAATATTGCTGTGCTGAATAGCTCTTTTTTACTTGAAGGTGTTGTTTCCCATGGGCGATGAGGCAACTCTTTCCTTCTGCAGCTTCCTTGGATGACTGATTTTTTATTGCATAGATTCCCACAGGCATGTGATTTGTATGCTAGGATGTATAATTTTCTTTTCTGGGGATGGGGAAAACTTATGGCAACCAGCAGGGTTTTCTTTGTTCTTCATCGACCATCCTGTTAACACCTGAATCTACGTAACTACATCTAACTGCATCCGCTATGGTTGTGACCAACCTCAGCTATCAGGATTTCATTATCATATCACACCAGTATAAAAATATTACTAATGTGAGAGATGAAGGATAAGTTGTCCTGTAGCAGTGCAAATTTTAAAGTACATGATGCATATGCCTCTTCTGTAAGCTAAAAGGAAACACAGGTAAATTCAAACTGGTTCTAAATGCGTTTTAAAGACATTCTGGCTGAAATGATAGTGAAAGCCTGATTGTGTGTATTGGTCCCTAACAATAACTGCACTGTACATAATGTTACAGAAATATGAACTAGGTCTGTATAAAAAGGGAAAAGACTACCCGCTATATTATCAGTGTTGTAACATTCAGTACATGCTTTACTGATAATACTGCTTTCCTTGCAAAAAAATCTTACACTAACATGAAGCCTCACTTCATAAAGGCAAAGCTATAGCATGTGTAAAAGTGACCACTGAGGAGCAACAGAAAATAAGTATCCTTTGATAAACAGGATGAGTAAATTGTTTTCAGTTTAACAGGCAAAGACATAAATAAAAATTATGATTTTACTTCTATTTTGACCACAGTCTTAATATGCGAGCTAGACCCTAGAGAGCTAAATCTGTTCCCTTGAGCATTTAAAGCTGTTTTAAAGCATTTAAACTGTTTTTTAAGCAATCCACCAAAGGAAAAAAGGGGAAAACAAAGGCTCCATTGCCAATTATTAATTCTCTAAAATGCACATGAAATCAAATCCATTTGCTGTATCCTTTTACTCTACCTGTAAGAAAATACTTGATACCGATTATCCCTCACCTTGGAATAAGAGAAGGACTCTTAAATTCAAATTAGCAAAAAAAAATTGACATCCATGATATACTGCAGCAAGTAAGGAAATCAGTAATTTCATCAGCGGTGAGGTATTACCATGTCAAAATATGATTTTCTGTCCTACAGGGGGCTGTTTAGTGATGCGCCAACCAGATGCTGACAGGTCATGTAACCCACCGTGCAGCCATCCCCACGCTTACTGCAGTGAGGTATGTGCTACTGCATTGGAGCATAGAACACCCCCGTGAGGGTCTTCCCACACGTCTCTCAGCGTTACAAAGATTGTGCCAACAAAAAGTATTTTCGGAGTTTTGACTAGATATTAATTTGTTAAAATCAACCTCACACCATTTTCCACCCTTCAATTAAATGTTAAATTATCTCTGTTGATATGGTATGAACTTGCATAAAAATGTATGAAGAGGTACTCTCCAGGCTAGCACTCATCAAGAGTCTTTTCTTCCAGTCATCCATGTTGTTATGCTTTGTAGCTCACAGAAAACTTTATTTTTCTGCTACACAGTGTAAAACACTTGTTCCCTACAGACTAGAACATGCAGTTGTGAAGATGGATACACTGAAGTTATGTCCTCCGATGGCACACTCGAACAGTGCACTCTCATCCCAGTGGTGGTGATCCCCACCATGGAGGACAAAAAGGGAGATGTGAAAACCAGTCGAGCTGTGAACCCCACCCAGCCCTCCAGTAACCAGTCAGGACGAGGAAGGACCTGGTTTCTACAGCCTTTTGGGCCAGGTGAAGTCATGCAATGAGCAGTTCTTAGTGCTAAGTACTGCTTCAGGGTTTGGCATTTACATTTTTGTGATGCCAAGTAAAAAAGAAAAACACTCAACTGTTCATTTAAGAAGGCAGGAATCTGCTTTGACTGAAAACAAAGGGAGATAAGTAAACCCCTAGCCTTCTCACTACTCCATCAATATATTTAAGGAAATCTTATATTGCAGAAGATTTCCTTTTAATCCCTTATACCTGTTAAAATTCACAAGAGCTATTTGAAATGTGACTTTAGAAGCAAGTTGGCTGCAAAGGTGCAAGTCATGATGTTAAATTAAAGTGTCTCAACAAATAATGCAGTTGACAGAGGAATGAAAAGGTAGCTCTGGTGAATGCAAAGGGTAAAGATGGCTTGAAATCTGCATCCACAGCATAAATTGTAGGAAAATAATCTGTATACATATGGTAATGCTTTTCTGCCATATCCATATTGAGACTAATTCATTTTAATCAAAATCTAACCATATTATTGATGTCTAGCATAGACATGCTTGAAGTCTCTGTAGGCAGTATTTGCTTTTATGATGGACCACTCTCTTAAGAGCTAAGCAAGGACTTATGTGCAAGCGTGGCATGAAATATAAGTCAGTTCTTTCATTAAAAATACTTTGTATAGTCCATCATGTAATCAAATATCAGTAACTATTCCCTAGTGCTATTAAGTATTGGGATAAATAAAACTTTAATTAACAAAATACTTTCACATAAAGATATATGTTGCTTGTCCAAAATGTTATTTATATGGAAGAGAGCAATTGGTTATCATCGTAAGTGATTTTAAATCACATAGAGCTAAATATTCTAACACACTTCTGTCCAAAGGTTTTTGGACGTTTTTAATCTCAGAATTGAAAGCACTATCTTTACATGCATAATCCATAAAATGTTGTAAATTGAGAATTATTACAATACTTCTAATAAACAGAGTAAATAACATTTGGGTTAGAAATTAGAAATACTTATGTTATACCTCCTTAGTCCTACTAGCATTTACTGTTGTTTGTACTGTGATACATATTTGATACCTGCAATAAAATGGTCTTTACTCAAAGTACTTTAATCAACAATAAAAAAAAAAAAATTAAATTTTCCTGGTCCTCCTTTAAAAAACAGCATCTTAACAAATATGTTATCATTTACTCATTCTAGCTAACTGCACCTGAAAAGGCCAGAGGGTGGGTTGTAGAAGCCAGACGGGCAACAATAAGCAAATATTGGACAGTTGCCTTCAACTGTTTAGGAATGTGGATGCTCATGCGAGCTCAGGCATGGTTTTGGAACAAGGTCCAGTTGAGAGATTTCATGAAAACTCGCCAATTTTTCTGTAATTCAAGTTAGGAAGGAGACAAAGCTCAGTTCAGATAATCCCAACCATATTGAATAGAACTAATCCTTTAGTTCTTGACATAAAAAGTGAAGGTATGAGCAAATGTAAAAGAAAGTGAACGTTTTGCACTTCAGATGAGATTTACGCTGGATGATTTTAATTTCAGGATTGGGTATCTACTGGAAAGGTTTTCATTTACTCTGGCATGATTGTTCCTTTCCTTACAGTTTCTAAGTCTAAATTTAAAATAGGTCTTTCACTGTCTTCAACAAATTTTATTGCAGTTTCAGAAAGGAATGTATTAAAACTGTCCTCTTCAGTTGCCTATTCTGATGTATTACCACAAACAGATGAGTTTGAGATGCCAATTCCCTTGTATACTTCGAAATAATCTGTCCAGAGGGAATTGAGAAAGCCTGAATTAGATGTCAGTAGTTGCATAATAGGCATGACCTCATTAACAGAGTTCCTTGCTTACCCAAAAATAAATAAATTCATACACAAGGTATTGCCAGTCCTTTTTTCAAGATGTTACTATTTTAAAACAAGCCAGCCCAAAACAACCTGAAAACTCTTAAATTTACCAATGGAAATAAAGCAAGGAGAGAAGAAACTAACCTATTTAGCAGTACTGAAGTCTGAATTCATCTCATTGATTTTATATCATAGAGTATGTCAGGTCAAATCTACTGTTTAATTTATCAGTTAATTTCAGTTATATCAGTTATAACGGGTATTTTAGGTTAAATAAGGTAGCAAAGATAAAACGTCTTGATATTGATTAGTCTTGAACAACTTGTCCATATGACTGCAAGATTTTGCATTTCTAGAGACCAGAAAGCTTAACTGCAGAGCAATAGAGAGCACTACTGTATAACTGAGCAAACTCAGTCTGAATAATTTTTGTTATTATTACATTGCAAAAATATAAACTGCATTGATGATGTCTTTTTGTTCTAGAGATATCAGGAAGCAGTAAGGGTTTGGTCTGAAAAATTTTATCTGTGTTTGCTTACATTAAAAATATACACAACTTCATGAAATAAAAATTTTGCCATTTGTAAATGAAATTAAATAATTCAGATTTATAATAGATTTTTTTATTGTCAAGGAAATGGAACAAGGCTAGCTAACCTCCTGGAAAACAATGCTTTCAAAAAGCCTTGTAGAAATTTGAAAAATGAGGCAGATATAAGTAGTGAGTCAAAGAGCATATCTGTACTTTTAGTTCTGACATGCTCATTTGGGGTGAGAGCAAAACCCCACAGACATTATTTTTCCTGGTAGAATTGGGTGCATCTAGGATTGAGGCAAAAAGAAGAGTGGTATGTGACAGTTGTTCTATTGTAGTGTATTTTTATTCTCTGAAAAGAAGGTGGTTTATAACAACGAAACTTGCATTTGGTAGGAAAAGATATTAAAAAAATATTACCTAATGCTATAGTGAAAGTTGTGTAGGTACAGTTAAGTATGGATGAGGTAAAGCATGCTAGGAGTATTTAAAAGCATGAAAGTAAATAGAAACAGGAATAAAAATAACAGGCAGATTGATTTACTGGAACTAGAACGGAAAGTGATGCTAACAGCATAAATGAGCCCTGGGCTGATGGACTGCCCTGCAATCACGCTGAGAGATCACTCACTACCAGCGGGCCCTGGGGCTGAATTTCTGGATATCTCACCTGCTGCATCTGTCCCACATCTCAACTCCATTTGAATTATCCAGACTTTGGCTGAAAAGCAGAGCACGAGTACACAGAGAAGTCATTGTTCACTTATTTAACAGTATTTACTCTTATTAATCTGTAATTTCTAGTGAATACATTTATTTTTAACTATTAAAGTATTTCTATGCTATATCAGAACTAATAATTCAACAGCACTAACTCAAACACTACTGACTAACATTCATTCCTTTTAGATGGGAGGCTGAAGACCTGGGTTTATGGTGTAGCTGCTGGTGCATTTGTTTTACTCATCTTTATTGTTTCTATGATCTATCTAGCCTGGTGAGTTCTTTAATTATTTATAAACAAACAGTTGCACACAGACTGTAATGGCAAGAGTTTACATATGCTGCTGTAGGAACTGCAGTGTTTAATTTTCCATGCCCTTTTGATCAAACTCAGGTTAGTGGATTCTGGTTTTACTCTAGATGATGGATAATCATATGCTCTCCTGAAGTTAGAAAAACTTACAAATATGGGGTGACTTAGCATACAATATACTTTTGCTCAGTTTATCTCTGTTATGTACAGTGTCCAGAATAATTTTATGGTGCCTGTATCTCAAAATGAAAAGAGAATAACAAGAAGGAAATTTAATAATCAGGCAAGCCAGATTTTATATTTGACAGGATATAGAGATACACAACCGAAAAAAATCTGAAAATTTTCTTGTCTTTTTCGTACATGAAATGATATTTTTTTTTAACAATCACCTTTGAGAATGTGCTCCCTGAAGTTTTCTAGGTCTTTTTTGGAATTTCTGATCCAAATGACTGTGCAGGTGAAAGGAGAGGGAACTCTGGTGATATACATCAGGCTCTCGGTGATACTGCATTAGTAGGCATTTGGATATTCAGGGCACTTCTGGATTTGTCTGCCTTTTAGTAATAATCTGTGGCCACTGCAAGCCACTGTAAGAACGGAGTTGATATAAAAGATTCATATTTGGGAAGCCTAAGTGACATGGCTGAGATAAGATTGCGGAGGAAAACTGAGAATGCACAGACCTGATTTAAAGAAATGCTTATATTACACTCTGAAAGAAGCCAAGTACAAAAGCATGCATAAACATTCATTTTCCTTTGGCTTGGTAATTTTTTAAAACTTTATCAAATGGATTGGAAATACTGCTGAATTATAATCTAATTCAAGGCTGGACAAGGAATGTTATGGCTAACAGCCATATTCCCTGCTATTTATGACCGGTTTGATTATAACATCTAGAATTAACTGTGTCATTCCAGTAAGTATAATGAGATAAAACCAATCAAAAGATGGAACTTTCCTGTGGAAAGTCTTGATCTGTTGAGAGAGGTTTAAGATTTGAATAACGTAATTTAAAAGAACCTGATTGCAGCTTTGATACGTGACCAAAATATTGCATGGCAGGCTCCGAGTTCTTCTGAAAACTGGCTGATGTTGCAGAAGTACCTGCCAAGGATTTCATCAAGTCACATCAGCACCATAACAGCTTGTTTCTGTACAAATGAGCTTTGAATCAGATATTGCTTTGGGTTGATAAAGAGGTAATTAGTGATCCAAATGAAGCTTTTAGACTTATAGCTTTTATAAATGAACAACTGAATGCATTATTAGCATGCTCATCTTTCATTTAAGACTGAAATCCGTCTTTGTATGTTATTAGTTGCTTGTTCTACTTACTAATTATCTTATTGTTTCAGCAAAAAGCCAAAGAAGCCCCAGAGAAGGCAGAACAACCGTCTGAAACCTTTAACCTTGGCTTATGATGGAGATGCAGATATGTAAAATATAACTTCTGATGGTGACAAATGGAGTCCAAATTTTTGGATTGAAATAAGAAGGTGTCCAAAGCCACAGGGATTTTCTATGGAGTGGATTAAGTGTTTTGACTCTTTCTTTTTTTGTAATTGCACCATAGATAAAGAAGGATGGATTTCATAATGCCTATGGATAGTCAAGGTATTATTGCTTTACTTTAGACCATCAGCACTGAGAAGTCTGGCAGAATCACCTTAATAGACACTGCAGTTGGAGATCTCTGGTGTTTCCTCAATCTTAGAAACTATAAGCACCACTTCTGTCTCCAGAATACTGTAGCTGACATAGTATTAACAGTTGGAAGCCCCTGCATCATTAACCAAGTATAACCAGTACGCATGAAGAGTTTGTACCAAGCTGTCTATGACTCTTTATATTCAAGCCTAACATATATATTCAGTTGAACCATATGTATTACTCTATCTGATTATATACTTGTTAAAGAGCATTTTAGTGCTTAGTACAATATTAACTTTTAACTGGGATCAACCCACTGAGCAAGCTCAAGAGTTTGCCAGTCGATGATAACTTGTGTTAACCTGCATTTCAGAGGGCAATGACTCACTTGCGAAATTCTGTCCTGTTACCACTCCAAAGTATAAAGGCCTCATGTGTACATCCAGAAAGGAGGCATTCTCAGATTCACTATTTTCTAGTGGTTGCTGTCTGGAAAAAGAATACCTGTTGTAAATGTTACAATACGTTTCTACTTTCTCTAACTCGAACTGTTGCCTGCATCTTTTTTGCTACATGTAAGGCAAATTTTTGCACTATATTAGTGCAGCATGATATGCACTTAACTAGTATTGCCATAGAAACTGCCTCTTTTCAGAAAGGATAATGATGTATCTTGTGCAAGGAATGTCAAGTAGACAGGTCTTGAATCCTGAAGAGAGTAGCGTTCAGTTTGGACTGTGACTGGATGGGATTGGCTAACAATGTGTACTGTACACACTGTTCCTCATCACAGCAGCCATTTGTAGTCTACATCATGGCAGTAATACAAGTGTCTAGTTTCTTGCCCCATCTACCTATACTGATGTAGATTGTCCTGCTGGTTTCTAATTGTACTTTGAAGGCTGTTTATGACTAGATTTTTTATATTTGTTAACTTTGCTAGAAAAAAGAAGAAAAGAAAAAGAAAAGTGGTTGCCCTGTAATCCTGAGTGACATACTTCTTGTCTAAAAAACTGTTCTGATTGTTCAAGTGAAATAAAAAGGTTTTGCTTTTCTTTCCTTTTACTAGTGAGAGCTTTCTCACTGTTGCTGACAGTGAAATACTCAGAGCCCTTTCATCTTTTCTAATTAGGATAATTGGATAGACTCTTTTAATTAGTCAGTTAAATTCTTGAGTGTACTGGCAAGTAAACAATAAGATCAATAGTTCTGCCATTTTAATACTTATGAATTTTAAAAAAAAATCTGGCAGTATGAAAACTCACTGTTAACTTCTTCCATGCTTATGGCTTTTCAGTGTTACGCTTCCAGCCTGAAGGTCATTGACTTGCCACTGTATCTACATGCCTGTTAGGGATGTGATCCATGACCTGAGAAGGGTTATTCTCCTCAAAAGGCTTCTGTGTGTAGCCTGAACATACAAGTGACTGTGCCACTAGTAAGCAATAGAAAATTCTATCAGGCAACCTCTCAAAAATAATTGTTATATAAAGTTCAATATTAGGTTCTCAGGTCTTTTTTATAACCTAAACCACTTCTGCCTACTCATCATGCTATTTACTCAAGAAGCACCGGGTTTTGCACACTGAATAAAACTGTTGCTTTGCAAACTTTGGCCCAGATCAACCCAAATCAATGGCAAGATTGTCATGGACATCAAAAGGTAACATCAGTCCTTAAAAATACACACTTTTTTTCCATGTAGAATAATTTCTGGAACCAACGAGCATTTTATGGGTGTTCAAGAGAGATTATGGTCCTACTCTGACTTAGCTAACATATTACCAGTATGGCATTACTGAATCAAGAAAATTACCTTCCTCCCACTATGTAAGTATTCCCCAAATGGGAAGGATGAGCAGAGGAACAATAGTAACAATCTTTGTTACAGGTTTAATTTCTCATTTTATACCTTGATCCAGCCACAGCAGATGAAGTTCCATGGCCCCCTGCCACAGCAGTGGTTCATTCATAGATGTGTTTCAGGACTGGGGCCTCACTCTTACATCACTTTATAAAGATCCATAGGAAAAATAAAAATCTTGATGATTTTAATTAGCTCAGCGTTCTTGAGTAGAAAACAAGAAAAACATGGTTGATTCCTCTGTTGTCAGACATACAAAAAATAACATGCAAAAGTTATGAAGTTTTAAAGAATGATAACTACATGTGGAGAAATCAAGTTTAATAATGTTTTCTGTGCTTTTAAAAGTCTGATTCTGTGTCATCAAATAGTTTTGGACCAATAGGGCATTGAGGGAACAGGGTTTCTTTCATTGACAATGAGTCATCTTTGTTTATAATACAGGCTGGTCTTGGCAGGAGCTGTTGCCTAGTTCTTGCCTTGAAGACTTTTATGTCCTAAATCTAAGCATTTAATAACTTGAATTTAAAGGTATGACATCTCCTTTTTCTTACCATATGAAATGGACAAACAAAGAAAGAGATAGGAGGGTTTGTTAAGTATGTTTGGCCTTTGCAATCCATGCAAGTATTTTAGTATGTGTTACATTTTATATCTGATCAGTGAATATCTGGTGCACATCTGCATCATACTAGTGCTGCATTTAAAATCTAGAGTGCATTTTTATTATTATTTTTTCTATGAACAAAGTGCATGGAGATTTGAAGCCGGAATGGCTTCCCTCATTATCAAGAAGAGAATATTAGGCTGTAAGGAGGGCAGAGATTTTATGTAAAGCTAAAAGTTACTAAGGTGAATAAGCCCTCTAGCATTGAAACAGAAATAAATAATAGGTGAATTATCAGTATAGAATGAAAAGCAATTTGCTTTAAAAATCAGAGTGCTTCTACAAATCCAGTGCCTAAAGCAGCCACTACTGTAGATTATTAGTTTGTGAAAGTAATGTTTCCAGTGATCAAATAAACCATTCAGAAAATAGCAAAGTAGACATTTTCCTGTTGATGTGGTGGTTTGTATTTTCCTTTTTAAAACTGTAGTTTCTAGATTACTGTGTCTGCTTTGAGTCCTGGAACAGTTCCTTTTTGAAGCTTTGATGCAACTGCACAAGCTTATTTATATTTGGTATAAAGCATCAATTTTGAAACCCCCTTCCTCCTGCCAAAATGTAATACAGGGTTTTTTTCCAATTTTGCAATCTGAAGAGACCAACTTAAAAACTCTATGTGTAAATCACTGTAAAATATACCTTGAATTAAATGGAAATCTGTCTTTTTACCTTTATGTAAATTGTGCTCACCCAAAGTTGAGAGTTTATTTTGCCTAACTTAATTTACTTGAATATTTATTTTGTAGAACAAGGAGGCAGCTGTCTGAGGAATGTTTACCTTTTTTTTTTTTTGTTAATGTTAATTTGTAAATTGTGTAATGCATTTTTATTTTTTAAATTATGTACATTTCTTTTTTAATGCACAAAATGTTTACGTACAACTACTACTGCAAATTTGTGTATATTGTCACTAAGCTTTATTCAGTTAATACAGATGATGTGAAAATGTAACAAGTCTTACATTTTCATCTGGGTTATTTTTACATAACTGATGTATTGCTGACAATAAATATAAACACAAAATCATTTAATGTCTTTTTTAATAGATGTAGTATACTATACTGGGGTAGAGTAACAATAAAAGCCAGATCCCTAAAGTATGACCACATTTTAAATAGTCTCTTTTTGTTTTTGTTTGGTTTGGGGCTTTTTAAAGGACTTAGTAAACATATTCTTGTTAAAAATTAGTCTTTAAAAACAAAAATAATTGCTGATGCTATGGTAACTATCAAGTCTGTTGCTAGAGTCCTACAGACTTAAAAATTTACAAAAGATATTTAGTTGATTGATAAATACCCAATAAATGCAATAAATAATTGATATTTTAAATTTTTTTCCTTAATTGGCATTTTTATATCAGAAAAACCAACCCTTTTGTGGAGAATAAGGTGTGGATCAAGATCGCACTAAAAGACATCACTTCAGTGAAGCTGCATCTGTCACTCTCCCTGCACAAGAAGAAAAAGAGTCACTTTGCTTTTTGTTCTGTAACTGCTCATATTCTACCTCTGTGGTCTCCAAAACTCAATTTTTTTGATGTCCAGTTCTGCTGTGTATTTACACACCAGATCACAGGGAACTTGTCCTATTTCAGTAGTTATTACCTCCCCAGTAACTCTTCCAGGCTAACACGGTTTTGAGGCACACAACTGATTTTAGAGGCATTTCAGGATTTCCATAAGTACCTCCAACCCACATTTTCTCCTGCTGGAATTCACAGTAGAATCAAAGAAGTATATTTCTTGAGTCCCACCTGCACCTTAATAGAGGAATTTCTTAGATTGCTTAAAGTTCTTTAATTCAATAGAGGTAGAATTTTATGACCAGTTAAAAAACATATTTGAGAGAAGAAAATTAAAATTCTCATTTAAGCTCTGCAGAATAGAATTAGCTATGGTATACTATTGAAGATTATATGGTCTTCACATTCAGTAAAGTAACATAGTAGGATTTTGACAATTGTTTCTGAGACTTCGAGAGAAATGGCTTACAGATTGGGAAAGGTAGTCTTTATTTTAAAAAAAATTAAATTACAGGAGAATACGATTTTCCAGTACAAGTATAATAAAAGGACATAAATTGGGAGGTAAATGAAGAGGCTTAGGTAAGCCTTGTAAATATTTAGCCTTTAATAATGTGAAGACTGACAATATTAGGTCTAAAAACTTACGCTGCTGAAACAGCAGTGAGCTTAAGCAGCCATTCAGGGTTTGCTTGGCATCACTATGCGCAGTTTGACTACAGAACCGGTACTCTCTGAATCTCCTTGTAGTTTTATTAGACACAGTAAAGCTTACTGTCTTTCCAAAAGCAGCTAATGACCAGGCAGATTAGCACTTAGGAGGGGGATGGGGATCATGAATATGTGTGTGTGGATGTGTGTGTGTGTATCTTAGTCTTTGCTTGCCTGTTCATTTATTTTTCAGCAGAGGGTGCAGGTGTCTAATTTTGCTTACCTTCACTGAGGCACTGTCCCTGGCAGTGGAGGGCTTGGTCCTGTGCAGATGTACTGGTGAAGCGTCTCTACATCCTTTTCAAATGGGCATTTTTTCTAAGTCCTGCTTAAACGGAAAAATTGGACAGTTTACTGTGAGGCATCCCTTCAGTGACACTGGGTAGATGCCATTGCTCTTTCTGTTTGCCAGTGGCATCTTTGCTCTGGGACAGGACTGAGCCTCATGAGAACATGTCAGCGTCAGGGTGGCAGGTTCATAAAATCACAGAATATGCTGAGTTGGAAGGGACCCACAAGGATCATTGAGTCCAATTTAACCCTGCACAGAACAACCCCAAGAGTCACACCATGTGCCTAAGAACATTGTCCAAATGCTTCTTGAACTCTGTCAGGTTGTTAACGCCAACCTGTGTGTCCGCACAGGTGGTGGTGCTGGAAGCTGATCCTTCCAGCCTGATGCATAAGTCACTTCTGACCTGCCTTGACAAGTTGATGCTGTTTGATGCATTATCCTGCTTGTCCTAGTTTGGTCACGTAACAACCCTGCTGAAAAGGTGGAGGGTGGACAACACACTGACCATGGCTCAGCTTCAGGCCCTGCAACGAGGAAGGCAGCTGCACACAGGGCTGCACTGGCAAGAGCTTGAAGGAGGTCATTATTCCCCCCAGGTCTCATAAGGCTCTACTGGGAGGCCCATGACTGGTTTGGACCCCCTTTGGTAAGGGAAAAAGTCCTCTGATTTGTCACTAAGGTGAAGGTACAACTTAGCCACAGGATCATAATCCGTGATCATACCTGTTGTTGTTTTCCATATTCAAAGAAATCGCATTTCAAAGAGTTCAAGGTTGAACCTATTAAATTATCACTATGCATTTATGTATTAACAAATGCTGTCTTTTTATAGAAAATAAGATTTGGTACTTGTCCATTTATAGGTGAGGATTTAGTGGCTTCCATATATGTTTTAATATTCTGTGGGTTGTATTCAGAACCTACTCCTTATGTTTGTTGGAATTATATTCTGAAATTGAAATTAAAAAAATAATGAGTTTTTGTTTCTTTTAAAAAATACCTTTCAGTGTCATTATAGTTCTTTAAAATGGCAGAAAATTGTTTCTCAGTTAGTTTTGTTTAGCTTACAAATTTCATCACAATTTCAGTATTGCATTTGAAAGCAAGTCTAATTTTTTCTTTTCCTTAATAATTATAAAAACGAACCCGCTTTCTTACCTATACATATAAACTGGGACTTAATTCTCAGCTTTTTAATTCTACCTGCTGCGGCTCATTGAGATACATATATGGAAATATGACTTAAGCCCATGACCAGAATTTAGTTAACAGTTCTGTGAATGGGCACTTTGTTGGCTGTCCAGTACTGACAGGTTAATGTGCTGCATAATGAAGTCCTACAAAAAGCTTTCTCAGAGTAAACCCAAACTTATTTAAACAACCTGTGTCACATAAAAAATATGAAAACTGTCATAGGAAGACAAAGGTAACATATTGTGTCTTGCTTTCATACTCTAAACTCAACTCCCTTAGTATCTTTCTTCCTGTGTCCCCATTGTGTCTTGGTGCTTGACACAAGTGCTAGATTTCATCCTTATGTGGAACTTTTCTGATTTGCACTGATTGCTATCATAGCTTTAATTTTCTTTTGATGTGTCTTCTCACTCTTAAGATCACAGTTAGACAACAATAGTTAGCAGTTGACAGCTTACAAGTATTTGAAGACATGCTGTCAAAAGCAAAAATATGCATATTGAAAATGGGAATTTTGAGGCTGAAATCATTTTTCTCTCTTGTTGCAACCAAAGCTTCAACTATGTATTTAGAAACCTTGAAGATACCCGATTCTACATATTTTACTATACCATTTTATTGCTGTTACTTCACAGTTTACTGTTCCATTGTTATTTTGTATATTTGTTAATGTTAATTGTAAAAGCATATTAAGGACTCTCTCCTCTGCATGTACAATTATAGCAGACGGGAGAAGTCCCTCTTTGAAATCCTGGCTGTGATATGACAATAAACAACGATTAACAGAAGTTCAAATTCTCACTATCTATTATTTTTCCAGGAATTCTGGGATGAAAGCTTGGTGGACTTGCTTGAAAATGTTCTCTGTGAATCACCACGGGAGTCAACCAACCCTATTGTCATGAGCAGCTCCATGGCAGGAGGTTATTCACATTTCCTGTTTCTGAGTGTTATTCTAAGCACACATAGATGTTCTGATTTTAGTTACTTTAAGCTCTACCAACAACTTAAAATCAGGGGTAGTACAGATGATCTTGAGATATGTTGAATTTGATAAGTTTATCAGAGGTGTGTAGCATCATATATGTGTTAACACAGAGCTGTGTTCAGGTAGATATTCTGTACTTAAGGTCAGGAGGGGCATCTCCATTCACCTATCTTTCAACTTTGGATCTCACTTTTAGTTTCAATATTACACAAAATGAAAGAAATTCTCGTCATTTGATTTGATTTGTACCAACAGAATAGAGACTAAAACATCCCATGTACTCAGTACTGCAGAAAATTACCTCTCAGCTGTAGGTCTGCTCCTTTTCAACCAGATAGCTGAACCCACGTAACCTGCATCTCCAGTCTGATTATTAGTCCCCAAAACATAAACTAACAGTTATTAATAAAGGCCCTGTGATCTACTAGCAAAGAAGCAATGTCCCATACAGAGTCTAACTGCCTAGGTATTCTGACAAATTGGTAGGAAATAAAGTTTCACTGGCTCAATTTTACCTCTTTTTATAAGAATTATGTTGTTTGCTTCCTCACTGCTTTGTTTCTTCAGTCTTCAGAATGCAGGATTCTGTAGCTCCATTTTGTGAGTGGAAATTGGTGACACAAGGTTTCACTTAGCTGAGGAAAGAAAAAAACAATTAGCTGGCGGTTTGTGACTGCCTGAAGTTGAATTTAATGAACTGCAGCCAAAGCTTTCTGCAACATTAGAACAGCAGCTGGAGCTAGATTCTACATTTCTGCCTTAAATGGCCTCCACTTACTAGCTGATGAGCACAACATTAGTAGCAGTCATTTGTTCAGTTTTACAGAAATATAAGAGGAAGCTTTGCAGCACAAGCAAGAAGTTAATGATCAATCTCAAACTGACTCTCAAATCCTATTGCAGAATTGCAATGCTGAAGAAGTCAGGGCAGAAGTCTAATGGTCTCAAAACTGTAAATGGGCTCTTTCAGAAAGGGAAAGCATTATTTACATTAAAAATTGCCATACTCCATATCTGTTAATATATTCTCTTTGAAATCAAGTGGTACTGCAGATGACAAGACTTCCATCTGCCACCTAAGATCAATGAAATGGCAATACAGTATGTTTCTCTAGAATACTTCATGGGTCTCATCAAAATGCCTTACCACGACATATTTAAAATTATCCTTATGTTTAAAAAGTTCTTATAAGCCATAATGTTTTCTGCTATTATTTAAGGTTTTATATACCTGTAATTACACTGTGGAGATTATAAGAAAATAATATATGTGATAGAAACATTTATTATTACTTGATTTAAATTGTTTAAAGCTTTTAAGTTCTACTTCAGTGGTTGTCAATTAGCATGCAAAACATCCTGAGCAGTCTCTGCATAACTGTATTGAACTATGTATATAAGAAGAAATCACATATGCAACAGGATTAGGAGGATTGTTGTGGTTTTTTTACAGTAGAATCACAGGACAATTAAATAAAAGTAAAAACATTAAATTTCTTTTAAAGAGGGAAAAAATATTATTTTAAAGAATTGTCCAGATCACTGTGTCCAGATCAAATTGCTTTTCAAAAAACCTTCCAGATCTTCCATTTAGCATACAACTCCTAAGGACAAGGAAATTAATTGTGCTCCCAGTTTCTCTGGGAAAGGGGTGGGAAGGAGAATCTTTCCCCATTTTAGCTTGTGCCAATATTATACATATTTGACTGTCAGATACAATATATCTACGCCCACGTTTCATTCTCTCATGTTCTGAAAGGCTTTTAACCCAGCTGAACTAGTTGCTAAGAGGATCATCACAGGAAATCAAGTTGGAATAGCGGGAAGGGTACCAGATGTCTACATTTAATTTGTTTTGTTTGTATAGTAGAATCATAGTTTTACACAGGTAGCAGTATCTAACATACATAAAAGACACCATGTACAGTAAATTGGGTGTAATATGAAACAATAGAACAATGAAGACAGAGCAAATGTGTAAAAGGGTGTTGGCAGACACATAGAAATTACCCCAGATTGATCCTAGAGTAAGGATCACCACAAACATCACATCCCTCACACTGAAGGACTCGAAAGGCTGACAATTCACTGACACCAGTGCGAAACCCCAGAGGAGCAGTGGAGGCATCAGCAAACACTGGGAGGAAGGGGTAGGCACTAAGAGGTATCCATATAAACATTTTAGCTGTGTTATTGTTCTTTTGTAAACAATGAGATCTGGACTAATAATGGTTAGAGTGCTTCACTTTCAGTAATACTAATAATTTTTTAGCTCTTTGTACATAAAAGGTGTGCTTACTGCTTATGCCCATAAGCAAGATTTTGAGTGTAACAACTCTGCAGCAGCAGAGAGAATTCTGGGGTGGATGGATGAGAAAAAAGGATACATAGAATTTTTGAGTTATATGAATATTGATACAGTAATCTCTTGGTACTGCTTTTTAAAATCTGACTTCAAATAATTAGAGAAATGTATAAGAATGTAAGAAAATATTGTCTTTATCTTAAGGACACATCTTGCTATTTTTAATGGAGAAATTCAAGCTAGTTTAGCAGGATCTTTTAATTTAGAACTGAATCAAAATCCTAAATTTACTAAATTTGCACTATGTGCAAAAAAATATGATGACAGGAAAAAAATCAACAATGAAAATTTTTGTAGGAAATACATAAGTGTTTATTACCATAAGCAAGGCTTTTGTCTTAATTGTGATTTTGTGTCACAGGGGTAACCAGCTAAACTAATGTTGTCCACCTAATATACCAATGAGCTAGAAAGCTGTTCAATATGGACACAGAACTTGCTAATGCTAAAAAAAAAATACTGACTGAGCAGACATGGTAAAGAAGCCTATGGACTAGTTACTGAAAAAATTATGAACAACTGGAATAAAAAAGTGCCTGAAGTGAACTAAAAAGTAGCTAGGATTGACTGCAAAAAAACTGCAAGATAGCAGTGGGGGACAAAGAAGAACAAGGGAAAATTTGTCATAAAGCAATGAGCCACATCAAAATCTGATGTGATCAAAGACATGAAAAAGCATGATGTGAGGCTTTTCTCCCTCAAGAGCGGAGTAGAATTATTTCAAAATAACTTACATTTGTGATAGTAAATAGACTAATAGTGCCTTTAACTACAGCTCAGCAAAGGACTGGTGGAGACAGGGAGAGAATAAGTAAAGAATTACATTTCTACATCTCGCAAAACAACTTATTAGCAAAAGATATTGAGTAGAAAATTTGAAATTAATCTTTAAAGAATAATAAAAAATGAAAAGTTTTTGTAGCACAGAGCTTTTTCTTGCATTTACACTATCAAGCCAAGCATTGTTTGTTTCAGGACTCCTAGGCCAGTAGTTGTCCACCAGCCACTGTGTATAGCAAACTTAGGTGGCTTTTACTTTGGGACCAATTTGCTTTTGAACTTATGCCATCTCTTAGCATCTACCACCTTTCTAATGGCTCCAGAGTTGTCAGGTAAGAAGCAAATCTGGGAAATGGTCTACAGCAGGTACCATTGCCATAAATTCATAAAAGACAAGAAGGAGAACAGCCTGTCAGTCATTTTCCACAGAGTGTGATTCTTCCTAGAACATCAAGGGTCGCATGTACACATAGGTTCCTGAAACATGCCTGCCCACCCATAGCATGGTGGAGTCTTGAGCTGAAGACAGATGAAGAAAATTCTTTTTAAAGAAGGATTTGAGGGAATGTGAATGTCATAACAAGGTGAAGTAAGAACAGCATAAAATTCCAGCATATTCAGATAGTCAGTGTACCTTGAGGGTAAGGCAAGAGCATATAACTCAAGTGCATGTAGACAGAAAAAGACTTAGATATAAGGTCTGGATATATGGCCTTGAAGAAGTATCTGGGCAGATTTCAGCTCCAGTATTTATGATTCCTAAGATTAAAGCATTCTCTATCCAGGAAAGTAGTAGAAGTCTCATCTGGGAAAACATTCAAAATAAACTACCTACAACAGTGGAACATTTGCTAAGCCAAACAATCCTGCTGGCCAGGGAGAGCACCCAGGTCCCTTCTATCAGGGAGTGCTGTACTGCTGATAGGGCAGGTGGTCTAGGGTGACAATTATGTAATATTTACCATTATCACAACTTGTTTCAATTACTTATGCCTTCATTGATCTCTATGCAATTAAATATCGGTTTAAAGCTTCAATTAAAATTGGGTACCATACATTGACTTCCTTATTAAAAAAAATTGCCTGAAAATCCTTTGGTTAGAAACCTTACTTTTTCTCCAGTTTGTGGGAGAACCCAAAAGAGGGGAACTACAAAGAGGAGCTGACTGTAGAGTCACAACTAGCCTTTCTTTCAAACCATTAAAATCAGGAAAAATTACAAATCCTTTAAAACCCATAATTTCCCCCTCGTCACATAGAAACATTTTCAGATGTTGGAAACTGAACTCCCACAAGATACATAGTCCTGGTATGGCACACTAAGGAGATTAAGGGATTTATGGAGATGAAGAAAGATTAATTTGGGAGGAAGATAGAGATGAAAATTGAGAAGAAGGTGCAGATAAATAAATTGTAAGAGTTGAGTATCTGAAATGAATGAAGGTTGGACCTTGTGAGAAAAAAATATCACATGATTATATAAATGATAGTATTGTAAAACACATACAGTTTTGCTTCCATGCATTACTCTGTTTTCTTTGGACACTGAGGCAGGTAATGGCTTAAGATTCATATAAATCTTGATGAGATTAACAAATAATGGAAAGGTGTTTTGTTAATAGGTTCTAATACTTGCAGGCACAAACATGGACAAT